TATCAAGAACACTTCCGCGTTTTTGTGTGTATACAGGAATGTTAAAGATATCATTGAGGAAAACGAGGTTGACGTGACGTGATTGAATCAGGGAATCCGTGTGTCCACCACGGGAGAGGACCCTAATTGACTTTACATTGGCATTGTTTTCGTGGTGGCAGCACGTAATTTCAACCCATTACGTGCTGCCACCACGGAATGCGGTGTTAAGAGGTCGTGGTCATTTCACGTATTTCTGTGAGATCAGGTTGTCTCAGAAGCACTCTCACAACAACACTCTAATGACATTTTATTTCTACATGGCAATTATCTGATCTTATTTGTGCAATAACCACTGTGGTCAGGGCAATTTGTTGACTCTGGCACTTTTATAGCTACCTCTTTATTTTGTGTGCAATGAGGTATTTGTATTTGGTTTGTGTATTTGTATGCTTATCTTTTTTAATATTGTATGAAATGTGTCTTTTTTAAACTCTTAGGCACCAACCAGGAGTTCACTGTATCCTGCACAACACAAGACAATAAAGGCTTTCTATTCTATTCAATTTTATTCTTTCCTATTGAAACTCCAAAATTATATCCTCATTTCACCTCTTCCACTCGCCACTCTACTACCTCATGAGCCAATGTTATATTTAACTAAGCTAATATTTAACTCACACTGACCCAACAACAATCATGATTAGAGGCCTTTTTTCTTGTTAAGAGAAGGAAATTACAAATAGGCTTATAAACATTATGTTTATAGTATGTACAGTATCCTAGCCTGATGTGCCTATTTATTAATGTTCTGTACATCTAATTAAGCAGGGGATAATCCACTAAACATGCTTTAATGCACATGTTTATTTGATTAAGGTATGCTGTTAATACAGAATCTAGTTCGTTCGACGTCTTACTCTTTAGAGGCCACAAATGGTCTTTTTGTGCCTCTTACTTCTAGAAACTGTTGAGAGGCTCTACGATCCACCATTGCTGTAACACAAAAAAAAACAAGAAACTCTTTAGTCACAACTAGGGCTGGGTATTGTTCACATTTGAACCAATACCAGTATAGGTTCTGGTACCTGGAATTCACTAATGGTACCCAACAGTACCTTTTTTTGGTAGGCTACTTTCTCTGTAATAACAAAAAAACTAGTCCATACCCATTGAGTACAGCATACCATACCATGACTTAGTCATACCAAAAATTAGAAAAACAAAACATTGGGCCACAGGAGGAGCCACAGCGATCAGTCGCATTTTAGCCATTTTTAAGCATTTTTCTGTTGTTACAGCGCCACCCAGTTGCCAATTAGAGTTAAATTTCTCCAGTCACCTTGAGGTTTCCTGTTCTACATATCTACCAAGTTTAGTAAAAATTGATATGGTTGTTAGGCCTAGATAAGAAATTAGCTCTCTAGCGCCCCCATTTTGTTTGATGGGGTCAATAATGGAGGGGTCCCCTCAGATTATGTGTGCTCATATGCCTACAAAGTTACGTGGTGATCGGTGAAACCCTTGAGATGTTATACACCTTTATGTGATGAGCCACGCCCTCTGCAATATTCATTGCCTTATAGAAGCTCAGTTTTAGTAAGTTTTCCAACTTTTGCCAAGAGGGAACTTTAGATATTGATGTAATATTGCTTCATTCACATCCTCCCATGACCCTCTACCACTGTGCCAAATTTCACATGGATTGACCAAGTCAGTGAGGAGAAAAACATGGGACACACAGACACACCCACGGACAGAGTTTTCGTCATTATATAGGAAGAAGACTATCACGGCAGATCAGTGCTGCGCTATAGTTTTGTCTAGCAGCCGACAGTGTCTAAGTGGCGCTATCCTCAGCTCTGTGGTTAGCATCCAGGCTTTGGGGTTCTTTGTGGCACTTGCACGTCTTGTCGAAGCCTGGCATTCTCACCTAGATGCATTCGCAAGTACCGAATTTTGGTGGCATGGAGGCTTTATGGTGAATCGGTACTTGGTACTATTGACAATTTGGGTCAGTGCCCTTAAAAATACCAATTTTGGTACTCAACGCTATAGCTAGCATTAAGTTAGTTGGCCCTTTGGCTGAGGAGCTCAGCTTATGGTGTAATTATCAGCACAATGGTTAAGTTAGAAAGGTTAATCAAGCAGTCCTGAGCACTAACATTATTCAAGTGGAATTTGGAACATCAATTATACTATAGCTCTGTGGCAAGGAGGAGAGGAGTAGGAATAGTAAAGCTAAGGTTGACGACAACGCCACCCTGGGAATTGCACCCAGAGAATTATTTTTGCACTACAAAGGCACACAGGTACGTTACTCAAGAGGCGTGAGACGTGGTTCCAATTGATTAAAAAAAACACTTTATTAAACAAACTGGGTAAAAGCCGTAATTAAAATGTCACACAGGGAGGGAAAAAGGAAACTGATCAGGGCTGAGGCCTAGTTGATGGACAGAAATCAACTTATATCACCGGACACAGGTGGCAGACACACACTCAGTGAAGTAACCCACTCCCAGGAACACAGCAGACAAGACAGAAGGGTGCCAACACCAGATCACCAACACCGCCACCACTGGCCTCCAGCCACTGAAAAGAGGGGAAGATAAAACAAATTAGTGGGGTTGCAACAAAAACACAAAGCAAAATCTAACAATTGTAATTAAAGGGGCAGGGCACAAACTTAATATATCTTAACGAATAACTACCCAATTCGGTTTCAAACGAATATAACCCAAACAAAAAGGAAAATAAAGAACAGAAAAACAAAACAATTTCCTAATTTCATAAAGAACCTTTCAAATTAATTCAATTAATTAGCAAATGAGTTACACAAACAGACCGAATCAAGTTCAACCCAAACAAAACATACAAATAAACCTATACAAATAACCAAAAATAATGGTGTAAACCCACGCTTTCACACATGCATTCCATATAAATAGAGAACCGTGCCCCGACGTGCAGCTGAGCAACTGCCCGCACCGGACGTTCAAACAGTCACCAAGGGCTTATGTTGTTGAAGCAGAGCTACAAAGCGGTTTATAAGACCGCCGCGTGGCGCCGTGCCATAAAAGCGAAGCCGCAGCAGAGACGTGCCGCAGACGCGGTGGAGGCAAAGCAGCAGCCACAGCACAGACAAAACAGACAAAACAGCAGAAGCAGGGGAGACAGCAGCAGCCGCAGTGAGACAAAACAGCAGCGCCCCAATAAGCTGGTTACAATAATTCCTAATCAAGAAAAATACTATTAGCAATATTAAGTACACTGATGATGACGCGGTGCACGTTATGCTACACATACATAGCTTTTTAGCAGCGATGGACACACACACTCACGAGAGGAGGGGAGGAGAGAGGACTCCTGGCAGCCACCAGCATTTACCTGTGACCACACTAGCATTAGCCACCGGACAGCATCAACCATACCGCAGAGAGAGAGGACACCTACCACAGACACACGCAGCAGCGCATACAGGGGGGGGCCGGAGCAGCACACAGGCAGTCGCCCTACAACAACACCAATGCCTTAAGCACACTGAGAGACAAACTACCAGCGAGGTGAAGCAGCGTGCACTCATACCTGTCGGATCAAATGACCGCTGACCCGGAAGTGACAGAGGTGACGGAGGCGCAAAGGAAGAACTGGTGGGTGGACTGCTGCTTTTATACTGGCCCACCTCATCAGCGGCCACCAGCGGCGCTCATTATATACAGTGGCAAATCACAAAGGATAAACACCTCTATGCTGCTACAGCTCCATAGAAATATGCTTAACACATAGGCCTAACGTTGTATCCAAATTGTGATGTTAGCATTCACTTAATCAAAACAACTCAACCTCATCAGACTTATTAATAGTCCCAACTGTGACATATTTTCAAATAAGCCAAGTAACGTTATAAACTGTACTGTAAGAGATTTCTACTTGTGCAGTATGTGCTAAACACGGAAGCCAACCGTAATATTTGCAAAACTGATAGATGGAGTTTCAAGGTATAAGTCCAAGGTCTCTCCTCCCCACTCCTGTCCTGTGGCTACTGTCCTCTCTTGACTCCTGTCTCGCTTGGTTACTCTTGTCTTTGCAGCAACAATGGCAACAGCTGGTAAAGTGAGTATTATCCAACATGTGGCCATTCATGATGTGATGTATTTGTTTTTTGTGCAGTGTGCATGAATATTGTCTATCTCATGACACTCCTGTGTATTTATACACTCACACTAAAAATTAGGATGGTTTTGAGATTCTTCTGTGCTCATGTGTGCACTTCACATTTGTGTATATGAGGCTGGTTAATTAACTGGAGAGTGAATAATTGAAAAAACAATGTACCTGACGTGAGGGTTTAAGTGCTTTCCTGTGCAGTGTTTTAATGTGTATCTGGTTATAGATATGCAGTTACAGTAAGTATTTCTCCTAAACAATGGTAAGTATCTTAATTTCACTGCAATAGAACCTGTAATTGGTAAGTAATAGTTAAGCCATAGGATAGCTTTACCTTAACATATCATGTCTTTCTGTCTCTTACATTCTATCTGTCTCTCTGTCCTCCCTGCCTGTGAAATATGTCATTATCTGTTATCACTTGGCACACAGTTTGAAACTATACAGTCAGTTTTGTGTAACTATTGTTGTTGACCTTAGTGTAGATGACTATTGCATGATTGTTTGCAAGAGAAAGACAGAACAAAGGAAAAGTAATTCACACATGGTGGTTAAAACTGGTTCTTTACCGTGTAAACCCAAAATGGATGTTGTTTTTTTAATACAAGAAATACTGACTATGGTAGTTTTTAAATTTGTTCTGTTAATTACGCTGTAATAATAATAATAATAATAATAATAATAATAATGTAATAATGATATGATGGGGCACTACCAAGCATTTACACTCGGCCAGCAGCAACCCAGGCTAAGGCAATTCCAAGATTTAATTGCCACTTAATAAGAACTATCATTGCTTTGTTAAATTTTTGGTATGTTTGTTTGAATTGCTATTGCCATTCCCTGTGTCAGCGTGGGTTTTCTCCAGGTATTCCGGCTTCCTCCCACAGTCCAAAGACATGCAGGTTAACTGACTCTGACTCTAAAGTGTCCGTAGGGATGTATGTGAGTGTGAATGGTTGGAAGTGGAATAATAATAGTGGAATAATTTATATTTCCATGGGAAATAAATGAGATCAAGACAAACCACATGATTTATCAGATCAGAGACAACTGATTTACTCAGTGGTTTACTTGCTAACCTTTTATTCATAATATTCATAATAAAACTCTACACCTACATAATGAAACTTGTGTTAGTCAAATAAACTTGTGTGGACTTAAAACTGTTGTTTTTTTTATTTTCAAAGATATTTTTTGGGGCATTTTGCCTTTAATGGACAGGACAGGTAAGCATGAAGTGTGGGGGGGGGGTGTCAGCCTGCTTTACCCACTAAGCCACCGATGCCCCAAACTGTTGCTTTTTTAATGTTTGTTTTTATGAGGAGCTGTGGTATCAGACACTGAAACTACTTGCTGTTAACATGAAATGAAAAAAAATATGGAGGATATGACACCCATTTGTTTGCTTGATATGATACTGTTTTGTGCGGCAGTCAGTTGATTTGACATTGAAATGGGCCTCTAGATGAGTGCTGGCACTGAATTACAGCACAGACACTGCAACATTATAGTCTTATTGCTAATGTAGCATGTTGCTTTTCCAGTAAATGTGAAACACTGACAATATGTTGCTTTATCTGTCTCTAGCTTCACTCAGAGCAGTGAATTAAGTGTTCAGAGTTCTACAAATTGTCGTGGCACTGTTATCCAGTAGTATTTGTTGGGTAATTTCATGTGATGTCACCACCTGTAGGTCATCAAGTGTAAGGCAGCAGTGGCCTGGGAGTCCAACAAGCCTTTGGTGATGGAAGAGGTTGAGGTAGCTCCGCCCTAGGACAACGAGATCCGCATCAAGGTGAGAGGTGTCCACTATCACAACACATACATTTACACACACAGTGTGTTACTGCTTGAGGTGTACAGAGTAGTGTTGCACGGTATACTGGTACCAACGGTAGACCGCGGTACTAAAACACCACGGTACATATGATACCATAATGTTGGAGTACCGTAGTACTACGGCACCTCATGGTACCACTACTGTGGGATAAGTTCAAAGTCCAATCACAAGAGGGTGAGTGTCCATGCACCGTCCAATAACGGCGTGCGCTGGCCACCTGACACTCAACATGCTGCTGCAGTGGTTTGTTTTCCAGTGACATTTCAGGTATTAGCTGATTTATTGAGTATCTTTAAGCAGTGAAATTTATTATTTATTTCTTTTTACTTGTAGGTTAGATTTGTTTATATATGTTACAGTGATTTGTTTTCCACAGAGCTCTACGGTGCGAGCATTGTACTCCTAAACTAAAAATAGTTTTGCGCAAGCAAAAGAAATCATTCAGGAGCACGCTGTGCGAGTACAAATTTCAACCAGCAGCAGAAACAAAAAGCGAACCCTGCCGGCCATAGTGCTCTGCGGTGCAAGATAATGGCTTACAGTGAAGTCCGGCTCCAGGTCCAATATTTTCCTCTTTATTGGTGTCATGACTGCCCAGTAGTACCTGAACAGCCGAGCCGTGGTCGCACACAGTTATGTGGCGTGTCAGAGTAGAAACGAGCCGTTCACATTTCTCTCTTTGTGGCAGGTAATGGTCCACAAACCTCACCGCCCTTAAGGGACTGTTCTTTATTTGTCAGAGGAGGAGGGTGGCTGGTTGATTTTTGGTTGATTTTTATTTTATTTATTTATTTTATTTCGATTCCCGCTATGTTAATCACTTATTGATGTTGTTTTTGAAGTATGAATAAGTCAGTAAGTAATTTATTCCTTTAAAATATCAGTGATGTATTATAGAAAAGTGATTTATCTTTATATAAATGACAAAAGGCACATCTGCCCCAATTTTTACAGTGGTATCGTGATACTACTCAGAACCGTGATACTTTCACTGGTATCGTACTGTGGGTCCCAATTTTGGTACCATGACAACACTAGTACAGAGAGGACATTCAGATAGAAGACTCAAGACTGTAACGCACATTAAACATACAGTTGTTAAAACTATAAAAATGACGATTGGTTATATTTGCTGAAATTGTCACTACATCCACACAGAAGCAAAGGAGACAGATAGTCTGCAAAAAAGAAAAAAAATCAAGTTCCTGCTCCCACTTCTTGTGCTTTTAATGGCATTTGCAAGAATCTACCACAGCTCACAGAAAACAACCAATCAGAGCTGAGGAGTCTCTAACGCAGCTGTCAATTACTGCTCATGAACTGTCGTCAAACTGTCAGACTAGGCAGCGCTCAGTCTGACTTACCAGATGTCGTCTATGCGTATAAACCTGCCATTGGCCAGCTATGTATTCTGGCATTCTCCTTTCTTTCTGCTATCTGCAAGTTACCATTTTCAAAATCCCTCTCACTATGGAAAACAACAACAGCCTCCTTGCTATAGCTTACACGCTGAAAATACGAAGAGAAGATGGATGGATAAATGGATAAAAGAAGATGGATATTTTCCCCAAAATTACATTTGAATTAAATTATGAGTGGTCGTCAGGAGAGGACGAGGAAAAGGAAAGCCAGGACTCTTCTGTGCAGACCTCCAGGTGTGTTTGTGTAACATCAGCCGACCTCGACAAACTGGAGAGGAGTAAAAATGAAGTGAACACGGTCAGGAATTATCATTGATCATCTGATGAGGTACTGATGAGGATGAGGGAGAGTGGAAGCTGAATCCGGCTGTGCCAACATCCAGGTATGCCAACGTTTCATCAGCCGAACTGGACGAAGTTACACAGTTGCAGATCAATGTAATTACAAAGTAGCTTGTGGGTTCCTGGTGTGTGTTCCGCGTTGCCTGGCAACAGACTGGGGGAACTGTTTTCTTTTCGTGGAGCTACATAACATACTTATATATATAACATATATCGTCACAACTGTAGTCCGTCTGCGCAGTGCGACGCACAGCCTATAGGAAACAAAAATACTGCAAAATAATAATAACGTGACTAAACATTATAACGTTATTTCATCTTGTCTCGTTTTGGTCAACGAAAATGAAGAGACATTTTAGCAGAGGTTTTATTTTGTAAACCACATTTAGTCTCGTCAACAATATTGCATTATATATTTAATTATAGTTATCGTCACATGACCACCATCTACGTTGCGTCTCGTCTCGTTTTCGTCACGTGATAAAGGTTCGTTGACGACGATATTTAGCCATACTTTTCGTTGACGAAAGCAACACTACTCCAGTCAAGGGATATCTGAATTCGATACTTTTTGCACTGATCCCAGACTGTCCCAACTCCCCATCACATCAGCAAATTTTCCTTTGCCGCAGCCTCTGGAGCCACTCTCCTCCCATGAGTTTGCTTGGTTAGCAGGAGCTAACACACCAGCAGGGCTAACACCAAACACTGAGCCAGTAAACGTTCTTAACAAACTCACACTGATGGTGACAAGGCTCGCTAGCTGTGTGATGTTATAAGTTAGCCCTGTCATTGTGCCCCCCCCTCCACCCCACGGCACTATTTGGCAAGGGTACCATCATCTTAGCACTGCGCAGGACAATTGTGATTGGTTTAGAGAAACACCAAATGGAGATCCCAGACCTATCTCTAGTACTGACACATTACTGTGGAGATAAGTCTGGCTACATAAGACTAGGCAGCACTGATCAAATATAAATTAAGATTCTGTAACTTCATTGCCTATTTCTTGCCTCAAATGTTTTCAGAAACATATTTTAGTGTACTGTTTAGCTGTTTAGCTGCTCCAGTCAGTGGGTGGTGCTGAGTTTTTGGCTAAACCGTTTCCAACATCCAAACGGTCACAGTAAAGATTGCCTTGACAAGTTAACAAGAATAACTTTAAATTCCAATTATGCTGTGTTTGTGTTTATCTATATATCAACTGTTTATTTTTTTTAATGGAGGATATTAAGAGAGACTAGAAGCAGTCCTGCCAGGTATTGGCACAAACAGAGCAGGAGCGGAAGAGTCACAGGTGAGGCCCAGGCTTATAAGTTACAAGTAAATGTAGATATTATTATACTAGTATATAAACAAGTGGTGACTAGCATCATCAGTGTGTAGATCTATGTAATTCTATCTAAATACATCTATGTATTTCCACATGTAGTTAGTTGATAGAGTGGCTAATTGTAGCCTTTACTGTTGTGTTTATCAAAGGAAACTGCTCCAGACAGAGAAGACAGCAACAGAGAGTAGCAGTAGTTATGTTTCCATCCAAAAGTGATTGGAATCATTGGGAAATGCGCATTAAAAGAAAAACGAATCCTGTGTGTTTCCGTTAAATGTATGGACTTTGGTGAAAACTATGAACTCGTGCGAGTTTTCCGCAGAACCGGAAACAAAACAAGTTTTGCATTCTTCTTCTTCTACGTTTTCTGGCGGTTGGCAACCAGCTTGTAAATGCATTACCGCCTTCCTGACCCGGAGTGTGGATATCACCATAGAGAGAGGTGTGCTACGTCAGACTTAATTCGAACATAACTGTTTCCATCCCCCTTTTTGTGAATCAACATTTTTTCGAATCAACCAAAACCTGGCTAAAGTGAGTTTATTTTAGTTTGTGCTAATCAGGGGATTTTAATTCGAATTTTGGTGTTTCCATCATAATTTTCCGATGCGATACTTCTAGATGCGCATCTAAACAGGCTGATGGAAACATGGCTAGTGAGAGTGACATCAGTGAACAGTGTCAGCCACTCTATCAACTACTGTAACTACACATGGAAATACATAGATGTATTTAGAATTACATAGATGTAGATCTACACACTGATGATGCTAGTCACCACTTGTTTATATACTAGTATAGTAATATCTACATTTACTTGTAACTTAGAAACCTGGGCCTCACCTGTGACTCTTCCTCTCCTGCTCTGTTTGTGCCAATACCTGGCAGGACTGCTTCTGAGACTGTTGACTGATAAAATAACACATTGATGCATGCCATGTGACCAGTGAAACGTGCCTATTCAAAATTCCCATTTCAAACAGACGGTGATGAACCAACCAGTTACATCATCAGATCAACATTTGTCACAATACTAAATCTAACTACTAACTACTATCACCAAGTCATTATTATTCTAGCTCACCTGTGTCCCTGTCCCTGCCTCTCCACCTTCCTCTCCTCTGCCTGCGCTGGTGCCTGGCACCACTGCTTCTGTCACATACACATGGATCCATGTCATATGAGCAGTGAGACATTTGCCTATTCAAAGCTCTCAATTCAAACACATATCAACATTGGCGAATCATTGTTATACAATAAATCATTAGCCTAACATTTGTCACAATAAAGTACTATATCTAGCCTAACTAACACATCACCAAGTCATTGTAACTCACCCGTGACCCTGTCCCTGCCTCTCCACTTTCCTCTCCTCTGCCTGCACTAGTGCCTGGCACTGCTTCTGTCACCTGCATGTTGATACATGGCATATTAACAGTGAGGAAAAACGTGTAGCCAGGCAATAGCTTAGTTAAGTAGGCTATTATTATCAGCCTATGATAATTGTTGACTCTGGCAATTGTGAAAACATTTTCTTTAAAGTCGACTTACTCTTCTGAAATAGCTCCTTATGTGCACCTTTCTTCTTTTGGCTGCCATCTGGATTAAACATACACACAGGCTATACTAGTTAGCTACTAGGCTTCCTAGGCTATTTCCAGAACAACAAAACGGAGGAAACTTTGTAGCCCGAGTCCAAACTCGGCACTTATAACGACAATAGCAGTTAGCTAGCTAGATTATGCAGGGAAAGAGGGATCCCATGACATCCACCTATTGACGTTGGATGAAGTGGGCTACTGATGGCTGGAAGGCTACATCGAGCAGATAAACTAGCTAGCACTAGCTAAACTGGCGGC